CACACACACACACACATACGTACGTACCCACTGCTGTACAGAGGGGTGATGTGAACCATAACAGTCGCCGTGCTGTGGTATCTGATGATGATGGCAATGGTCAGGTAGGTCGCAGCCAGAGTGCCCAGAACACTGAGAGGACGGAGACAAAATGCCTGGTTTAGACAGAAATCAGACAAACACTGAGACATTTAAGGCCAAGTGCAGTGGATGAGTGGATAACTGGAGACATTGGGTCATTTATTGGTGTGTGTGTGTGTGTGTGTGTGTACAAAGGAGGTAAAATCTGTGTTAAAAAGAACAAAGACATTGTTAGAAAACCTAAAACCAGGTTGTATACAAAATATAAGAAATTAGTGACTGTACGCTGTATTGAACATCCAAAGAGGAAACAACATAGTGCAAGATATTTTATTTTTAATGTACAGCCTTAAAAGTACTGAGGGGAAAAGTCAGAAATGAGCTTTGTTGCATCTCTACACACGCAACAGCACCATCATGGAGCACCGACACACCCAAGAGCAGTGGTTCCCAACGTGTGGGTCCCAACACCCACTAGAGGTCGCCAGAGTTTCACACAGAGTCGCAAGGCCTTCTTCATTCTAAGGACTAAAGACTTTAAAAACAAGTATACAGTAGTCCTATATGTTAGGTTTGTTAAGTTTAGATTATTATTTAAGATATAAACTTATGAAGAATCTGACAGGATAAGGGCATGGTGAAGAACTGAAAATATACCACTTAGTCAGTTTACTCAATAATAGAAAGGGGTACCTTAAGGAAAAGGCTGGGAACCACTGCCCTAGAGTACACTTCTACATGAGAAGTTTAACCACTGAAGCTTAGCAAAAACCTTTTTAAAAGTTTTCAGCTTGTGTAGAGCTTCTTTTTAATGCTAATCTGTCTGATATACAGCATCTTGTTCATTCGGGCATGTAGGTGGTACAAGAGTTAAGTTAATGGAGCATCCAAACTGAATAGGGTTCACCCTAAGGGAGCATAAATGTGCATGTCTTTCATGTATATGCATTTCCATGAATATACATACAATGTTTAGTTCCATTTTTGTGGAAATCTGCCCATTAGCTAATGAGTTACCTTGTTGGTAAAGAGAAGCTTTAGAGCTGATGGTGAAGCTACATAAAAAGCTAAAAATTATTAGGAATCAGCCATGAACACTACATTTTATGGTAAATCTGGCCAGTAGTTGTCCACTCAAAAATGTCTCTCTTTTGGTTGGTTATTTCCAACCTGAATATTGGAGGGAAAAAAAAAAAAATCACCTCAGTTTTAGAATTGCATACAAATACTGATGTTCTCTTTTCACAAGCATGGACAGTGAATGTCTGTGTCTCACATCTTGGATAAGAATAGTCATAGACTGAGCTGCAACAAGGCAGAGAGGCTTATCTTTGTACCACAAAAGCGAATAAATGAAAAAAAAAAAAAAACATCAGCTATTGGACAAATTGCTATTTTAAACATCAGTATCGACCCAGAATTTCCCAATCAGTGCCCCCCTAAATATTTGATTATGTAGAAGGAGTAGATGCATATATAAAAAGGTTTTAATGCGGAAAATGTAATTTCATGTGGAAAAAACAGACTGGTTATTGTTCCAAGCAGATTTGTATACATGTCTCATACATGTATGGACAAACAACTGCATATGCACACATGCACTCCCATATGTGACACCTGACCTGATGTATTTCTGAATGCTGATCTCTTTTGGGATGGACATCGGCAGGATGAGGAGAATGCAGAGCAGCACCAGGGCGAAGCGCTGGTCTGTGTAGAAGTGGTACGGCATCTCTGACTCCGGCAAACCGGTTACCACCTCATACAGGGAGCCGCACACTTTCAACAAAGAACACATGAGGAAGCATAGAAAATGAGTCTAAATGCAAGCTGTATCTGTCCTAAAGATAAGGACCCTGAGAATGCTAACTTTCCAATGATGAAAAAAAGACCCTCCATCAGTTACTCCAATAACAGTTGAGGAAACCTCGGCCAACCTTCTCCCTTCCTGTACTCAGATATGCTGTGTGCGAGGCTCTCCATGTCAAGACAACCACATTTTGAAGATGGTTAAAAAATAAAAGCATACAAAGCGAACATCTTAACTAATGCAGTGTCTCAAATTTAATTCTTCCATTATTATACTTCTTTTTAGTACAATTTGCACACTACGTACTTACGTAGTGCAGCAATTTCAGCAGGATAGTGATGTCCCAAATTGAGCAAGGTCATTGCGCACTTGGCGGAAATGACATTTTACCGCATCACCTTCTTCTACAACTATTTACAACTGGACAGAGCATTAGCGTCAATACTTGCTTATTTTTCACTGGAGTTCTTCATTCATAAAAAATTTACCTGCTTCCACTTTTTATCACCCGTGTGTCCCTTCTGTTTCATGTGAGGTGGATATTACACTGTCTAAACGTTATGTACTCCGACTGTACTAGTATGTTCAGGTGGTCCATCCCCTTCCACTGCGTAGCAAAAATGGCGTTCCACACTTGCACTGGCAGTGCGAACGCACTTACGTATGTATATAAAACAGTTAGTGTAAGTATTTAAATTAAGACACAGAATTAGCAATGTTAGCAAAACATTAGCAAGCTACCCAGCAACCTAACACACATCGTTAGCTAGCAAATAACTAGCCAGCTAACAGAGCAAACAGGGCCGGGACTTAGGGCAATGGGAATATTGGACAACATATTAGTGGTTGTTTAACGAGTCTGAACTATCATTAATCTGCCCTTTAACTGAGAGGAGACGGAGCACTGGTGGTCATAGCCACATTATGTTGCCTTTTCCCAACGACCTGGGCTGGCATCAACAGTTAATGGATTTGCAAAGCAGGTCTGTTCAAATCCAAACAGCTTATTTACAAAAAATGATAATGATAAAAGGTAAAAAGGTTTTTTTACTTTTACTAAAAATAAATAAATACAAATCAGTACTTTGTGTCATGGCCGACTCACACTTCTCCAGCTGGTCATCCACTATAACCAGGAAGGCCACAGAGATCATAAAGAGGTTGAAGACAAAGCAGATCTCACACAGCTGACCGATGGCCGGCCCGCACACCTCCTTCACCACCGCCTGGTAAGTGCACTGGCCACTGATGGACGAAGAGTAGCCCAGGATGACCAGACCACTGACCAGGAACACGAGGGAGACCTGGGTGGATAAAGGAAAGCTGAATAATGGAACTCAGAAATAAATACAGATGACACATTTTCAGGCAGGACATCATATCTTTATATGACACGATTTCCTAAGTTACCTCAAATCTGCTTTGGCATTTCTTGTCACTTTTCAGCATATACATGCAAAGGGATACCGATATATCCACACCAAGCTCACAAGGAACCTGCATTTTGTGTCGATTCTGGCGGCCCCTGTGGACAAAGCAGTAGTGCTCCTTGTTTCATTGATTTCAGTGGCAGGCATTAAGAATAACTATAAAG